TTTATAAGGTATTCATGAGAAAATGAAATTCAATGAATTCCATTTCTTCATTTCAACAAATGAATAGATCAGCGCGCGCGAATAGATCTTGTAAATATTAATTTATTAAACCACTTATTCCCGAAATAATTAACTTCACAACTACCTCCAAAGAAAAATGAATTTCGAATTGGTCTGGATACCGACCATGTACCCAATACCGAAGACAATTCCCGAAGCTAATAAAATATCCCATCGAAAATGTCCCTCCCAGATTCCTCTCAAATCCCTCATTACCGAGATAATTCCCCAATTACCGGCCAACAATCCAATCCATCGACTTAAACCACTCAAAACTCCCTCACCCAAAACAAAAAACTAATAACTGAACAAATTGATGTCACCAGGCACTAAAATAAGGAAAAGAAGTCAAAAGGAAAATGAAATGAGAAATACAGAACATTTCAAGTACGACTGTACGTCGACTGGAAAATCCATTTCGTTTTAACTTGACGTTGAAATTGAATGTTTTGTAGTTGTATGGCGAGAGTTAGTAGATGTTGGGGTGGGAGAATGAGGGGAAAGAGGGAATAAGAGGAGAGAAAATGAAAAAAATAAATAAAAAATGGCGCCGGGGGAAGGGGGGAATAAAGTTTCGGAGGGGAATCGAGGGATTTCTCCTCCTCTAAATCACGTTTATCAGGATGCGAGGGGCGGGAGGGGGACGGGGGAGGGGTACGAGGGGGTGGGATTGGTGGAATGAGTACGTACCCCCGTGAGGTGGGGTAGGGCAGGTGGAGAACTCACGGATATTGATTCCCGTGGGGGATGCGCGCGCGACGAGACTAGGAAGTCTCTCTGTGTTTTCAACCCTATCCAACAGCGAGAATTTTGTACTGCACGGGGAAGAGAGAGATGTTGTCGTCAAATGCATCAGCACCTGCGATTCATCAGGAAATTTGACTCGGTGTTTTTTTTGTGAATTAATGAATATGTGCAATAATGAAGAGACTGGAATTCTGAATAATCGAAGGCGAAATTTGTCTGATCTAATGAGTTCCGCGACTACTTGAATATTTACTTCATGCGCGCGACAATGCCGTCGGAATTAAAAAATGACACGTCTGATGCAAGCCGGTCTACAACTACTTGAAGTCTTGATTCAATTCCAGCGGAAATTAAACTCCAAAAACTATTAAAATGCTAATTTCACGATATTTGAAAGAGGAAAAAATTATTAAAGAATGAATTAAATTCTAATTTTCTTGAAAAGCGTCAAACGAATGAAGAAAAAAGCTCCATGATGCCTCAAAAGGTCACAATAACCGCATATTAAACTCCGGATACTATTGGCATACTAATTTCACGGTATTTTAATTTTAAAAAAAATTAATTAAAAAATCAATGAAATTCTAAATTCATTAAAAAGCCTCACATCAATAAGAATAAAGCTCCCTGACCCCTGAAGGTCACGATAGCCCTATATTAAACTCCAAAAAATATTTAAATACTAATTTCACGGTATTTGCATTAAATAAAAAATTATTTAAAACAACTAAATTCTAAATTCATTGAAAAGCTTCAAATAAAAAAGAATAGAGCTCCATGACATCTCAAGGTCACAACAACGCCATATCGAACTTCAAAACCTATTAAAATGCCAAGTCCCCGTTTTTTCGATCGCAAAAAATGACAGAAGATTGACTAAAATTCAAAATTAATTGAAACCCTTCAAATCAATAAAAAATCTCCGTGACCCCTGAAGGTCACAATAGCCCTGTAATTAAATTCTAAATTAACGAACATGTCTCAAATCAATAACAATAAAGCTCCATGACACCTCAAGGTCACAACCTCTCCACATTGAACTTCAAAATGCCAAGTCCCCGCTTTTTCAATCGCAAAAAAAATTACAGAGGAATGAATAAAATCCAAAATTAATTGAAAACCGTTAGATCAATAAAAAAAAGCTCTGTGACCTCTGAAGGTCACAAAAGCCCTACATTACACTCCAAAACCTATCGAAATACTCGTGTCACGATACTTGAATAAAATAAAACCCTACTAACAATTCAGTAAATTCTAAATTAACGAAAAGATCTCAAATCAATAACAATAAAGCTCCGTGATACCCCAAGGTCCCAACCACCCCACATTGAACTGCAAAATGCCAAGTCCCCGCTTTTTCAATCGCAAAAAAAATGACAGAATAATGAATAAAATTCAAAATTAATTCAAGCCCGTCAAAAAAAGCTTCGTGACTCCCCAAGGTCACAACAACCCCACAAACCCAACAATCCCAATCAATACCGATGTGCCATCCCTCCGTAATCACGACACCCGGCATTTAACCCCTTGAAAGTGAAAGTACCACGTGACGACTCGTCTTGCAACCCTTGTCCCAGTGGAGTAAAAGGGCAGAGTAGAGTCAAGCAGCTTGACTCTGCCCTTTAGCTCGAGGGTGGGGTTAAAAGTGTGTGATGAAGGTGAGCCTGAAAGAAGAGTAGAGCAGCCTCAATGGTGGAAAAATAAAGTGAGAATGAACGAGAGACTGAGAGAGAGAAAGAGAGAGGAATTTAGATATCACGGCTGACCCCGTTGGGTTTCCTGGCGTGGCTCCCGGGGCGCCCAAAGCCCACCGCCGTTAAACCCACCAAGCCACTACAACTCACCACCTCCTCTCTCTGGGTTTATACTTGGGTGCCTTCCTGTCTGGTAAAACGACCACTACTACTAACTGAGACACGTGCCCCGCGCGTCGTCTTCTCGCTTCCAACACCATCACGTCGTCAACCACCGCATTACCAGCCTCAGTGGTTGGGCTGCACGATCCCTCTCGCTCTCTCGCTCTCTGGGGCGCTCTCTCTCTCTCTTTCTCTCTCTCTCGCTCGTGCTTGCATCCGTTTGTGGGCCGTTTATATACCCGTTTGGAGCGTGTTTCATGAATGAAAAGCCACCACGTGATACTAGGAGAGTGCGAACACGTGATACAGACACAAACGGTGTGGGTGACGACTGATTATGGGATGGCGGAGAGCTCGTTATGATACTTTCCCTGAGGCCATTCTGCGGGCGGGTTTGTTGGCTCGCCGAGACCCGTGCGGCCAGGCGACACAGTTGAATCGAATAAATGGATTTATTTGGGGGATTTTTAGGGGGTTCAACATATTTTTTTTATGAAGATTTTCCTTGTAGGAAATGATGAATTCATTCAGTCGTAATAAGCAGGTAACCATTTTTGGCTGACTTTTCCAACACTAGTTTCACTGAAATTTCAAGGGATTTCCTCGTTGAAGCTCAAAATTTTAGGGAAATTGATGAAAATTGGTAATTTTTGTTTAATTTGTGCATGGAAAGTTAGAGAAATTGGTATATTTTAGCTGAGGCCATTCTGTGGGTGGGTTTTGTTGGTTCGGTGAGATCAGTACGGCCAGATGACGCATTTTAATCGGATAAGAGGCTTTATTTAGGATTTTTTCAGGTGGCTCAACAATATTTTTATTGGGAATTGATGAATGTATTAATTTATTTAAAGGAAAATGGTTAAATGTATATTTAAAAACTTTTATTGCATTGTAGTTCAACGTTTTATGGAAAAATCAATAAAAATTGAACTCAAGTTAGATTATTTCATGAAAATAAATCGAAATCAGGAAAATTCGTATGCATCGTGTATTGAAATGTCAATTAACTAAGAATTCAGCGCAATTTGGTACTAAATATAAATATTTTGAGTTTTGAAAAAATTGAAATTCCATTGAATTTCCAGCGAAACCTGCAATTTCATGATTTTTCCCCCTAAATCAAAATTACTGTCAAGCCTCGAAAAATTACTCTTAAATTATTCATGAAATTTTATTTTTCTCTGATGAAATTTCAACGGAAAAACGTTTAAATTGTCTGCCAAGATCCATTTATTTTTTCAGGCAATTTTCAGACATATGTTTATGAACGAATTATTGAATATCTGAAATATTTAAGTAAATTAAAATTTTTTAAGTTCTCAATCTATTCAAAAATCAATTGATCCTAATGTTAAATTTTTTAAAAACTACAGATGATCCCTTTTGTGGAGAATTTCATGGCCCGCAATCAAGAGGATTTTATATTCTCGGGTCAACCTGATCTCATCACAGACATTTCCACCGCAATATCAGCGAAATTTGTCTTTTTCCACTGATTTATAATTTTTATAAATCTCCAATGACTGAAAAAACCCCTGACGTCATAACAATACCCCCCAAAACCCTCCCTCCAACCCCCACAATTTTTCATCAATTATTTACCCAGTTATCCCGATACTCCCACATATTTATGAGAAGTTTCGTCAGTACCCGAGTTGTCTGTAATTAAACTCGACTGTTTGTGCTTAGGTTGCTTTCCGGATTGGGGATCGTAATGAATTATCGATCCAAGTGGGGGCTCCACGGGCACCGGGGAGGGGCTCAGTAATTGCATTCGTCAGAAAACAAACCCGGGGTGAGCTGAAGTTTCATTTGAAATCAAATTATTGCGAAGTATGAGAATTGGAGTGGGAAAATAATCGAACTTGGACGGAAAATCTTCATTCGCATTTCCTCCTCTCCCTGCCCCCCTAAATCCAGCCTCTCGCCCTCAACCCACACAACCCGCCACAAAAACCCGTTTTACCCCGGCCCATTATCATGTCCCCCTTATTTATCCCTCATCCCTTTAAAAACAATTCCTTAAAAAAAAATCAAAATTTTTTTTCGACGCGGGCTACTCCAGTTTTCCTCCCCATCTGCGCACCCCTCCCCCCTCTCAACCTACCCCATCCCCTCCCGCTCGTGTAGAGTAAGACCGCAGCATGCGCCTCCCACTCGCCCGAGAGAGTGCGAAAATCTCATCCGCGAATCGCTCCTCTCATGCACCTAGTCTTCAGCCAGTTGTGGTAGGCGTCCCAGTGGTGGGTTTTGGGGTGAGTGTTAGTGCTCGTAGTAGTGCGAGAGAGAGGAGAGAGGGGGTAGAGATATACAGCACTCAACCAAGCGCAGACTGCCCGCGAAAGGACAACTACTATCACCGGAGCACGCACACCGTGCGCACACAAGACGCCAATTCGTTAACCACCGACTGGACTAACCTCCAATTGGTTATAACCCGCGCTAGTAGCACACGCTTGTCTACATAACCTTATCCGAGATAGAGACGTGCCAGTGGGGACACTTGGCCACTTGTCCCCTCCCCCTGGTGTTCCACAGGCGATTTTACGGGGATTCCCCTCTTTCACTCGCGTCACATTTTCGAAGCGTAAATACAGTGGCAGTGGTGGCTATTATGTCAGACCTGTTCCCCCACCACTATTTTCCCTCGTCACTGGCGTGGACGGGCGTGCACATTGACACGTTCGTGTTTATCTACACGTGAAGAAGTCGGTGTTTACGATTTTGTGGTGTTAATAGAGAATCAAGACGTAAATAACGAAGAGTTGAACGCTTTTCGGGGGGATTGAGTGACTTGAGTGCGAGTTTTTCGGGGGTTTATGACGTGTGAAGCTGTGGATTTTTTAATGCTCATTGGGGAGATTGACTTTGGTGGGCTTTTGAGATAATCTCGGAGGTTTTGGTCGGTTTTGGTTACCATGAGCGACGGTATTGTCAGTGCAATCTCCATAAGTTTGTTCGGTACTGGTTCAATGTGTGTTGGTGCGTGAGAAAATTGAGAGAATAATTAAAGAGTAATTCGAGGAGTAATATAGTTGTAGAGGGGTAGGCGAGGGTTTTTCATTTATTCACGGTGGAATCAATTCCAGGAGAGGAGAGGAAGAGACAACGCGGCAGCATGGAGGCTGGATACTCGATGCTCACCGGTGATCTTGACGTCTGCAGGATGTTTGATCAGTACACTTATAAGGTTGGTTTTAGGGTTCAAGGGTTAATCTTGCCGGAGGGGATTTTTATTTGTGAGGAATTTTTAGGAATTGCTTATGGGCGGTTCAGTATTGGAGCGCTTCTTTGGGGTTTTGGGTGGAAGTGGGGCAAAATGGGGGCTTTTTGGTGGTCAATAACTCGGAAATGTAAGAGTGGAATTTTTGGATTTATTTTTTATTTTCAAGTCATTTTTTTCGACTTTTGATATGTTTTAGTTGAATTTACAGTGAATTTTTCAGATTTTGAGGATCTACTAGAAATTCGGAAATTTTCAATCGCCAATTGTGATAATAAAATTGATGCTAGGGAGAACTATACCTTTTTAAATATTTTGTTTGCATAAATAAATGGAAATCTGATGTTTATGACATAAAATTCAGTTCTGGGGAAATTGCAAATGCGAACGAATCATTTAGGATTGCAAAAATGAAATTTGTAGGATGAAAAATTAATTATTTATGAGAGGTGTCATAATCTTCCAAAATTTTCTAATTCCAATTATTAGTTTACGATTCTGTTATTTTACTTGATGACTTTGCAAATGTTTCTTTCATCTATTCCACATTTTTTTATTATGTCCTAATAATTCAAGACAAATAATCAAAATTAGATCCTCAAACTTTGGAAATTTTGAATCATCAATTTTGACAATAAAATTGCGTGAGAAAATGACCAACAAATGGAAACCTGATAGTTATAACATAATATCCAGTCCTGGCGAAATTGCGAATGTGCAGGAATTATTTACGATTCCAAAGATAATATTTGTGCGATGAAAAATTCATTGTTTATCAATTATTTATGAGGAATGTCCTAATGTTCAAAAATTACCTATTTTCCAATTATTCCGTTGCAATTCTGTTACTTTATTCAACGACTTTGCCAATGTTTTTTCGTCTATTCCACATTTTTTAACATTTCCTAACGATTCAGGACAAGTAATAAAAATTGAATGCTCAATATTTCAATAATTTAGAAGACAAAGAATGACTAAAATACTTTGGCATCCGTAATTTAATAAGAAAATCGATAGGGCAAGGGATTGGGGGGCGGGAGGGAGAGGAGGGGTTCATCGCATTATTTTTTCTCCCCATCAACTCTCTGATAATTCTTGTTGACGTCCAGTCTAAATCGATGGGAATACTCGACATCACGGATTGATTAAAATTATGATGGACTTCTTCCAACATTTTAAAACTTTTTTTAAATTGAAATTGGTGATAAATGATAGTGCACTGAGTGTTTGGGGGTAATTAATTGTCAACTGTCCGAACGATTTTTCTTCATTTCCCCCCATCCCCTCCGTCACTCTTCGTTAATTGAAATTCCAGGGGGATTATTTTCCTATTCCGAAGTAAATTAAAGTCTTTTGCATATCCTTTCCTCTCTCTAATTTATGATGAAAAATTTAATTGGAGTGATGCCGGCTTTTTTTCACTATTTTTGGTGCTTTGTTGTTAATTCGAAAGAGGACAAGGAAAAAATCAAATAACCGGAGAATTTTGCTTTGAATTAATTTCGTGGCAGAGGGAAATTTTTTTAATTACGAGAGAACCCTGGGCCACTGCTCGACGTGGGGTGGAGGTGGCATCCAAAATGATATTGTCGCTACAGCGTGTCGCCATCGCCATTATTTTTTACGTCAATTTAATGTGAAATGTCGAGCATTTTGACGCAATGCTGGAGTTGGAAGGAATTGCAATGGCTTTTTTTCGTGGCGATTTTTTATAGAAAAAATTCGTTCCATTCCGTATAGAGAAATTAATGTTTTGATCTTCAGGGACATGTCACCCATTTTTTATTTTTCCATAAAATTTTGAATTTTTATTCATGAAATTCCTTAAATTTTCAATGAGCCCATGATGTGATCAAAATTCTCAAGAAGTCAATTCAAGATCAAACGATTCATGAAATAATTCATTCATAATTATCATGAACTTCTTTATTTTTAATTCAAAAAATTAAAAAACTTAATCTAATAAAGATTTTTCCATCCACATCTCCCCATTCTCTCTCCCCTCCCGAATTCACTGGTAATTTTAAAATCAGCAATTCCCCCACACTAATAAACACCGAGTGTGACTCAAGAATCTCTCATCCGGCAGTAACATTGACGAATGCTCCCATAAATAACGGGAGCGCGAAAACTAATTGGAGTTTCTTGTTAAACACTGGTGGACTGTTGAGACGGTTCCCAGTTCCGTGAATTACAATCTGGGTTGAAAATAAAGAAGTTGCATTTGAAATGAAATAAAAAAAGTCGCCAAGATTTTAGTCCACGTCTTCCGCGAGAATAAATTATCGAAACAAAGAGGAAGAGGAAGAATTAATGTCAGACATTAACGTCTGAACTTTTCGATTTCTTCATTTGCAAAGTGATGTAGATGGGGTTTTTATTTGTTCGAGTGAAGAAAGGGAAAAAGGGGGAAAATTAATGTTTTGAGGAACGATATAACTCGTCTAAGACAGCGAATACGGAGGGCTGGGGGGGCTATCGGGGCGCAAATTGATTGCTCGCGACTGCGGTGAACGATCGGACAGATAGGAGATAGGGCTCCATGTATATCGGACTGTCTCTCACGGTGCATATAACGTGCACAGACAGTAGGCAAGTTGGACGGAGGGGGGGATAGCATTATTTATTGCCGCATCCGTTATCTTTCTCTGCGGGTTTTCTCTGTGCGCTGATTTACCCGTCAGTGTACCTGGACGGGGCCCGTGCACGTAGAAACCATTCTCAAACCACTTTCCGATGTATGTAAAACCAAATTTCTCGGAATTTTTACGGAATTTTATGCATTTTTTTGTTATTTGCAGGAAAAAAAGTTTCAAGTTTTTGAAACAAAGTCAATAATTTTTGGGAATTTACGGTTCTGATGTGCATTGTTCTGAGTATGAGAAACTGTGTACGCAGTTTCGGTGAAAAGATCAGGGTTAATTGAAAATTTATTCAACATTGAAATAAACATGAATGCAATTTTCATTCATTTTTAGAGATTTTCACTTGGAATTCTAATGAAAAATGTTTGAACAACTCTTGTGGCCGCTTAATTGGACGTTAATTTAATTCCAAGTATTAAACTCTCATTTCTTCCTCAACTGCAGAATGTAAATCCTTTATTTACTCAATTTCAAAAGAAAAAGCAACTGAAAAATGTTCCGAAATTGAGAAAATTTGAAAAAAAAATCAGGATCGATTGGACATTAATTAAAAATTTTAAAAACATGACTACAATTTTCTTGTCCGGAATTCTAGTGAAAAATATGCCCCCATCTCCTGTCAGCGCTTAATTGGACCTTAAATTTAATTCCCAACATTAAACCCTCATTTTTTCCTCAACTGCAGAATGTAAATCCTTCATTTACTCCATTTCAGAAGAAGATTCAAGTGATAAATGTCCCGAAATTGAGAAGATGTGAAAAAAAGTCAGGATTAATTGACCATTAATTAAAAATTTAAAAAACATGACTGCATTTTTCTTTAATCATTAATTGTTAAATTAATTTTAACGTATTTTGTTAAATTCAAACACTTTCATCTGGAATTCTAATGAAAAATACTCCCCCAACTCCTGTCGCCACTTAATTGGATCCAACATTCAATTCCCAACATTAAATCGTCATTTTTTCGTCAACTTCAGTGCATAAATCCTTCATTTTTGTTCAATTTGAAAGACGGGTATGGAGGAAAAGTTTTAAATTGTCAGAACAAAGTTTCTGATTTTCAGAAACTCATGGCTCTGACGTGCATTCTCCTGAGTGTACGAAAACTGTTTACTCACTTTTTAGAGAAACGTAAAGGGAAAAATATTCGAAAAGAACAATGGAACATTAATTGAACATAAAAAACCATGTCTGCAATTCTTTTTGATGATTCATTTTCAAGTTAATCATAATACATTTTGTTGAATTCAAAGACTTTCATCCGGAATTCTAATGAAAAATATTCCCCCCACCTCGTGTCGCCGCTTAATTGGATCTAAAATTTAATTCCCAACATTAAATTCTCATTTTTCCCTCAACTCCAGTGTGTACATCCTTTATGGTCTTTCAATCTGCGTTCATTCATCCTTTTATAGTTCCCCCAGCGTTCGCCCGTACCTCAAACTCCTTTCATTTTGTTTCAATGTGGCAGATGGGTATGAAAAAGGTGGTACGAAGAAGTAGAAAAGAGTTGAAATAAACGTAAAAGAGAAGTAGCTGAGAATGAAAGAGAGAAAGAGATGGGTGACTGGAGCAAAATATATCTGTACATTTCTCAGAAAAATGTATTAACCATTTGAGATATTGCGAGTGGGAGGCAAATTATATTTCCCCGAGAGTTTTTTTCCTCAAAAGAATTTTATTCACCGACAACTCCCCAGACATTCAATCAAATTTGTAATAATTCTCGCAATTCTCGGTGAATATTCTCATATTTTTCAATCCCACGAGTTATTGGATTTAATCCTCTGATTAATCTGTAGCTTTTCTCGGATTAATTGAGGCGTATGCGCCGGGCTATTAATGGAGTTGAACGGCACTATCAATCACGGGTAAATAACAATTTCTCTTTTGTCGATTTTTTTTTCTCGCATTGCCTTCTTTTTTCACTCCTATTCTTTTTGTTTGCCAACGGTCACCAGTTCGTGATATGTGATGAAACGGTTTTCTTCGCGGTGATAAACGAGCCTGTGTTCTACCGCCATTGTGCCAGTTTTCGCCATTAAGAGACGAGGGAATTTCAGGATTTAAGCCTTTTCCTGTATCAAACGACTTTGAAAAGAATCTGGAGGAAATGCCATTAATAATTCTGTTATCATTTTTCAATAACACGAGTCGACAGGGAAAAATATAACATAGAAAATGTTTGTAGTTTTTTTATCGATTTTTTTAGCTGTACTGTCAGAAAAGAATTGAAATTTTATGGAAATGTGAATGGAGACTGTGAATTTCAGCTCAATTATTCAATGAGAATTAATAGAGATCGGGGAAATTCAGGTT